ATGGCCCGCTCGAGGCCCGCCCCGGCGGCCGCGGCTGCCCGCCGCGCGGCCGCCGCCTCGCCTCGCCGCCGGCAGTCGTTCTGGGCTTAGCTCGGGCATGTCCTCCTACAGGAGGAATGTGCAAATATATAGTCTAAACAAATAGTTTTTGGACGACGTTTGACTATGTCTGCATGTTCCTGAGCGAGTTTTTAGCATGCTTCGTTGTTTTGTTTTTTTGTTTTGGTTTTTCCGATGTCCGCCTGTAAGAGGACCTGCCCGACCTGATTCTTGGTCTCCCAGATGGGGTCCGAGTAGATGGGGTCGGAGGATCGCGCCGCATCGCCGATGCATCGCCGATGCATCGCCGATGCATCGACGATGCGGCTCGATGTGGAGCCCGTGTTTCCCCACGCCGACGTCGCTGATGCATCGCCGATGCATCGCCGCTGCATGGGCGACGCGGCCCGATCCTTCGACCCTCTCTACTCGGGCCCCATCGTGGCGGCCGCTAGTCTTTGAGAACAGAAGAACCCGTAGCCCTAATACCACGATGGAGGCGAGGCCTCACTTAGGTCCCCGTCTTCGCATGAGGGATACTGGATCGAAGCGATTTGGTCGGACCTCATCCTTGATGTCTTGGGCCCTCTTAATTTCGATTCCCTCCCAAACGGTTAGGGGCACCCTTATTGCTTATCAAGCAACGGCCGCCGGCGGCGACCCCGACGCCGAGCCCTCAGAGCGGCCGTTGCGAAGAACATGCGGCCCAGCCCCCCTCGGTCGTGACAAAAATCACGGCGCCAGTTTTGTTTTGCCATGTACGGCCTCCAGGGGCCCTCGAAGGGCCCCGGGGCCGTCCAAGAACGGCTCGAGATGAAAAAACGACCCCGAGGAAGGGGTCCAGACCTCTGGGGGTCGACGTCGTGGAAACATCGCGACGTCGGGGGCCTGGGCCCTCAGATCGGAGGTTGCGAAAACATGCAACATCGTAAACCGCGCGGACCTCCGAGTTTATATGTTTATGCCACTTTTTGTTCCCCTAAAAGTGCCCAGAAGCGTTGTTTAGGAGGCAGCTTGCCACGAGTCGGCGCCTCGCCAGGCCCTCCAGAAGCTCGAGGAACGTAGGCTGCGGGACAGAGAACCCCAGGCCTCCCAGATGGGTTCCGAGTAGATGGGGTCGGAGGATCGCTCGGCATCGCCGATGCATCGGCGATGCGGCTCGATGTGGAGCCCGTCTTTCTCCACGGCGACGTCGCCAAGGAATCGCCGACGCCGCAGATGCATCGCAGATGCATCGGTCATGCATCGATGATGCGGCGCGATCCTCCGACCCAATCTACTCCGAGCCCATCTAGAAGAGACATGTGGGTATCTTTCGAAATTGCCTGGAAGTTGCTGGTTCCCGCGGGCGCCTGGCTGACTACTCCCGCCCTGCGCGCCTGGCTGACTACTCCCGCCCTAGTGCGCGACTGGGAGCTGGCCGTGTCGGCCTGGAGCGGTTGCCGAGGGCATCCCGCGACAGCCTTCTCAGTTTTCCTGCTCACGCGTCGTCTGGTGTACGGTGGGGGCGTTCGTTAAGGAACGTGCCCAGGAGGTTTCAGACCCTGGAGAGTTTTTTATCTGATGGGGGCGGCGGTGATATCCATCGCCAAGCCTCAGTTGCCCCTGGATTCCTCATCCAATGGTTCCTGATCCAATGCCCTCACCGCATTGCATCAGACGACGCGTGAGCGTGCCTCGCCACGGCAAGCTCGCCTGCTCGCTCGGGCTCTCCCGAGGGCCAGGGCGTCCCGCTCGCCCGCGGAGCCTGGTCTCGTTCGCCAAGGCGAGCTTTCGAGGCCTGGGCCTGGGCTCCTCGGCGCCGGGCGGCCACCTCCACGGCGGGTCTCTGGCCTTGGAGCCCCGGGCGGGGGTCTGAGGCGGCCCGGCATTGGTTCCGGCGAGCGGGAGGGGGGGGCGGGTTCGAGGCGCTGGGTTCGGACAGGCTGTTTGCCTTTGGCCCCCGGGAGTCGTCTCCGGGCCCCCGGGCGGACCGTCAGGAACGGCTCCACGGGATCCGTTCCTGACGGTGCCTGATCAGCGGGGCCTGATCACGTGCGGGCGCAATCGTGACGTCGCAGCAGAAGCCAGGCGATGCATGTACACAGGCTGCTACACAACACATGCTTCACCCCTAGAGCCACCCAGCCACAAGACGGATTGATTTTCGAAGTTCAAAAGCCCATATGGATTTTACCCTAAGCCCTCCACCCTAAGAATATGTCCAGTCCAGCCAGGGCACAACAGCGGGTTGTTGGGCGACGAGCCCCACGTCCACCGCCGCTGGCCAGGCCCGCCCTGGGCCCAAGAGCGATGTACACGCCCCCTAGCTTCGCCAGGGAGAGCATCCACTTGCACCGCTCCCTGGGCCGAGGATGGGCCTGGCCAGCGGCCAGCGGCGGTGGACACGTGTAGATCTCGTCGCCCTAGGGTGGGCCAGCCGTCCGCATCCCTGGCACCAGAGCTGTCCACCCATCGGCGCGCATCGGCGGTGGTAAGAGGTGCTCTGCGCCACGATTCACGACGGAGGCTTCCGAGGAGGGGCCGTGGACATGTATAGATCTCGTCGCCCTAGGGTGATCCAGCCGTCCGCATCGCTGGCACCAGAGCTGTCCACCCATCGGAGCGCATCGGCGGTGGTAAGAAGTGCTCTGCGCCACGCGAATCACGACGGGAGCTTCCGAGGAGGGGTTCCCGATCTCCGCGGCACGTGGCACTCTGACCTGCACTCCCAGCCCGTGCACGTCTGGTGTGCCTCGGCCAGTTTTGCAGGTTACGAGGTCCATGAGACAACCTGCATCGCATTCAATACCAGTGCTTTGTCCCTCTGTCTCGCGTCGTCGTCGTCCTTCCCAGGTCGTGCGTTGCTGCCCCTCCCCCCCCGCGGACACTTCCTCTGCGTCCTCCTGGCGTCCTTTGTCATCGCGTCGCCCGCTGGCGTTGCATTGCCCCCACTCCCCCTTGTGGACATCTGCTTTTCCTCTCCTCACGTCGTCGTCGTCCCTGAGCGTTGCATTGCCCCTCGCTCTTCGTCCTCTTCGCGTCGTTGGTCGTCGTCGTAGTCGGTCGTCGTCGTCGGTTGTCGTCGCCGGTCGCCGTCGTCGACGCGTCATCTCCGTTCGTTCGTCGTCGGCGCCATCGTCACACGAGAGAACAGCTATATCTTCAATTGTCAAGGCGCTTGGTCTTTTAAGTCGCTCGCTTGCTTGTTTTGCCCTTTCTCCCGCCTCCTCGTTCCTTCTTCCTCGTCCCTTCCTCGTCCCTTCTTTTCTCCTCGATGCCAGAGCTGTTGCACGTTTTTTGGCGGCTGTGCCATTCCTCCCACACTACCGGTGGATGTGCAAGAAACTGTTCTGGCGTGTCGTGTCGTCGTCGGAAGTCTGGTTTGCCACGGTCTTTGTTCAAAGTCGCTTGACCGCATGAATCGTACCACCGCGGAGGCGGCCCCCCGGGTTCGGTCGGGAATTTTTTCTTCCAAGGGGCATCCCTGACCAATCCAAACGCGGCCCCTCCTTTTCGGTCATGTTCGAGCATCCTTCCCCCATCAAATGGGATTGAGTGACGGGGGGGGAGAGGAAGAGACCCTCAGGCGATGTTTGAAGGGTGTGTCGGCCTCGCAGGTTCACGATTCATCGGCCACCGATTCCCTATTCAGCAACCGCGCCGTCCATTTCTGGCCCTGGTTGTGGATGGAGCTGGTGGACGCGAGGTCGGTACTTCATGTCGGCATTTCCAGCTTGATCTGTCGGTTCACGGGCCAGCCTGGATGCTTCTCAGCCTTTGCGGCCGCCCGACCTTCAGAATTGAAGCGAAGTGCTAGCATCGGATTCGGCGCTTCCGCAGACTGGAGCTCCCTGGGCTCGGCGCCATGTGCAGAAGGATGGTCTTGCTCCGGGACCACTTGGCGAGAACAGCTAATCGAGGCGCCTTAGTTTCCCGACCGCGAACATCACAGCGGGCACTGGGCCCAGGGTCCCACTGCTGCCGTTGAGATACCAAGTCGCCTCCAGGGTTATGATGTTCCAACCTATTTTAGCCTAGACTTCCAGAAAGAAATTCGAGCACCAGGGAAGTACCGCAACTGGCTGGTTTTTGCGCGTCGGTCCCTGGGAGGCGATACTCGTTCGACACTGTTTCGATACTTTTCTGGGTGCTCGAAATTATTTCTGGGATGTGGTCCTTCAGAGGTGCGATGGGAGCAGCATGCGGTGGGGGCGTTGGTCAAGGAATGTGCTCAGGAGGCTTCAGGCCCTGGAGGGTTCCCTACCTGATGAGGGCGGCGGTGGCATCCACGGCCAAGCCTCCACTGGAGTTCCACTGGCCTCCAGACCCTGGATCCTTATCTAAGGGCTCCTTCCTTATCTGATGAGGGCGGCGGTGGCATCCACGGCCAAGCCTCCACTGGAGTTCCACTGGCCTCCAGACCCTGGATCCTTATCCAAGGGCTCCTTATCCAGAGCCCCCACCGTGTTTCCAGGGGCACAGGTCCAATCACAGTTTCGTGCGTCGCGGCCCGGACCGGAGAGCTGCCCTTCTCCAAGGGGGGGGGGGGGCCTCGCGAGGACGCGGCGATCCTCGCGCCGTCGCCTCGCGGGGGGCGAGGCGCAAAAGTTAGGCCACCGAGTCATCGAGACAACAAAAAACCCGCAGCCCTGATAACACGATGAAGACGTAGCCTCACTGAGGTCCCCGTATTCGCATTAGGGATGATACATCTGGGCGGTTTCGGGTCGATACACCTGCAGAAGAGGCCCCCTATCCCTGATGCTCCTGGCCCTCCTGACGTAGGCCCTATCCCACAGGGTCAGGGGTCCTTTTTATGTCCAAGAATCCAGAGATAGGAGGTTGGTCGCTCTGCATCTCCACGGAGTGTGTATGCAATCCGCACGTCTTCTTTGGACCGCACGCCCCAGCAGCCACCCGATCCCCATGGTGCATGCCACGCGTTTTCCCGTCGCTGCTCCCCGAGAGGTCTGCCTCCGGCGCGGGACATCAGCTCCTACCTAGTGGAGCTGTTTCAGAGAATGTGCCTCCTTTGCTACTGGCACGCTCTTTCTCATCGTGTGCAGCCCTGCTCGCAGGAGAGGAAGCCACGAGGGGCAGCAGGAACCAGGAATCCAGCCAAGAGCTGAGCAGATGTCACATTGCGCTACGGGCACGGCCGCCGCACCGCTCGGGGATGCTGGGCACCAGAAGCATGCGATGCGGGAGCCAGCTCCGTTGCGTGATCAGGTTTCGTGAGTGTTTGACATGTTGACGTGTCTGTGCAGGCATTGCCGTGACAAACGTATGCTGCGATCTGGATGAAGCGCGACGGACAGTGGGCGGAGTCGAAATCTCTCCGCGCGGGCATGCGCCACGACCCAATCTTCATGAAGGATTCGACGGCGGAATTTGTTTCAATCCCGTTGGAGGGAACCGAGTTATGTATGAAGGGGTCCAGAGTTACTCCGCGGGATCGCGCGAGCCGCCTGCCCATGTTTGGAATCTTCCCAGGTATAGGAGGTTCCAGCATCATATCAAACCGCATGACAAGTCTTGCCACGGCTGTGTGTGTGTGCGTATGTGTGTGTTGTGCTTGTGTCCATGCAGGGCTTGATACTGGACTCGCGCTTGTCTCCCGGAGAGCCCTCGCCCATGGCCGCCATCGCAACCCGTGCGTGGGCTTTGGAGCGAGGTGCGGAGCAGCGCCCAGGAGAACAAGGCTGAAGTGCATGCAGCATACGTCGGGGGATGAGCAGGAGGAGACGGGCCAGAGTAAACCTATGATGCATCAACGATGCTGCAAGACACCCCCCCTTGCCAAGCCCCCTCCTCGTAAGTCCATGCAGGCCTTCCTTCGCGTCTAACCAGACCTTGCGATTCTAATCCTGACTCCCTAACGTTGGACACTACTCAGAACCCTGGCACCCTGGTCCTCTCCGTGACTCCCTTGGCTTACTATCCAATGCGCTAACCCCTAGCACCCCAACCCTAACCCTGAAACCCGACTCCTAAGCATTCGCCCTAACCCTAGCACTTGAGCCCTAACCGTAACTTACCCAGACCCTGGCCTGAGCACCCTGCAATCCTAGCCCTGACACCCTATCCCTAACTCTCTAAACCTAACACCCTCACCCTAGCACCCTGACGCTCTCACCCTAGCACTCTAGCCTTCTAACCCTAACCCTAAGCACTGACCCTGACCCTGACCCTGACCTCATACCACCCTAGCGCTAGCACCCTAACACCATCAGCGACACAGCCCTGACCCCAGCACCCGAACCCTGAGCATCAACCCCACGAGAACGACGACGACGACGATTACGCCTCCCGCCAGGGCCAGGCGCCCCCCCAAGCTTCAACAGGAGCTTCGGAAGCTCCCCCCTTCCCTTTTCCGAGGGAGTGGTCGGGGGTAGTTTGAGGCTGTTTTTTTTTCAGCTCTGCAGCCCGCACTGGTGCGCTCGTCTGTTCCTTCCGGATCCCCGCGAGCCACGCCCCCACGAGAGACCGGCATGCCCTGTGCGCCTGCCATTCCGGCGAGGGGCCCGTCTTGCAAAGGAATTGCCTTTTGCATCCTTCCAGTGCGTGATAAGCAATGCGAGATGGTGGGATCGTGCAGCTCAGCAGGGTAGCCAGTTAGTTCGGTATCGTTTAACCCATCCCCATCCCCATCCTTATCCCCTTCGAGGCCCCCGCCAAATTACCACCCCAGTTGGGGATACACCCCTCGAAGCCCGAAGGATACGGCCTATATCCCCATCTAGGGGGGTAAATCGGCCAGTGGGGCCCAGGCCACGCCGCTAGGGATGGGGGTCGGATAAACGACGCTCAGTAGTTCCCCGTTTCTTTTTATAACCAAAGCGCCCCCCCCCCCCCATCTGTGCAGCTGCTGCACACGGGCTGACACTGCTCTGCAGGAGCTTCCAGGAGGTCTCCGGCGACGGCGCCATTTTGGAAAGGAGCCACGCGCCATGTGTGCAGCTGCTGCCTCTGTTCTCAGGCTTCAGGTCTTGACATCCGAGTAACACCTCAAGCGAGAGTTCAATGTTCACAAGGAGCTGTCATCCGTCCGTGTGACCTTTTCCTGGTCTTTCTATGACGAGTGTGCGTGGCGCTAGGGCGAGGACCCCATTCAGCAAAGGGACCGCCCCCCGTCCTAGCTATCACAAAAATCGAGACGAGCTTGCGATGCTCCAAGGCCAGAGCCCCAGTCTGACAAAGACCCCCCCTGCATCAGTCTAGCTGCTGCATGCTGCTGTCGTCGAATGCGCGCGGCGCTCAGGCGAGAGCACCATGTTGAAAACCTGCCCGTGTTCCACATGTGTGCTCGTTGCAAACCTCGAGCTTCAAGGTCTTTCAGTCGATGAAGCAGGAGACCCCTTCCCCCCAGGGGGGGAACTGGGGACCCCAGGGTCCCTGGAGGCCTCCACCGTTCTCCGACCTTGCGGAGGGGCTCCTGTTTACCGAGCATTTTCTTTGGGTGGAGGACAAAGGTTGAAACCTGAAATGCCGCTTCGATTGATTTTCGAGGTTTGAACCTGCAAGCGGTGAATCACAAGACGGACCGATTTCTGAGGTGCAGAAGCCCACATGGATTTCGCCCTGAGTCCTCCACCCCAAGAACATGCTCAGGTTTAGCACTCCCCTGCGGGAGGACTGGTGGCGGGCCCCCCGACGCCAGGCCCCACCTCCGCCCACCGGCGGCCGGCCGGAAGACAAGCCGGCGGAGGCCTCGCAGTGGCGGCTTCGGGCGGCAGCGACGGCCTCGGGGAGTCGCGGGCAGAGGGGCCCAGAACGGCCCAGGATGGCCTCCAGGACGCCTCCGAGAGAGCCAGGCTGGCTTCCAGATGGTCCAGTACGGTCCCCAAGTGGCCCACGAGGCCCCCAAGACGCCCCCAAGAGAACCCCCACCCAAGAGGCAAACATCGCCGCACTCCCTTGGGGAAACGAACATTCTCAGCATACGTATTCGTTGTTGGGTTTGAGCAGCGTCGAAGAATGCCCACGAGGCCCCCAAGAAAGCCTCAAGACGGCCCAAGAGGGCCCCCAAGCAAGCCCCAAGAAGGCCCAAGAGGGCCCTGAGTTGGCCCACGAGTCCCAAGATGGTCCTAGCGGGGCATCAGAGAGCCTCCAAAGATCCCCAAGAGAGTCCCAAAAAGGCAATCGGGGGCCTCCAAGAGGGCCCAATAGGTCCCCATGATCCATGAGGGCCGCAAGACGGCCCAAGCCCCTCAAGACGGCCTCATAGGACCCCGAGACGTTCCAAGGCAGCCTCAAGACGGCCAAAAGGATCCCCAAAGGGGTCCCCAAATGGAGAGGCCATACTTGGTGCTGCTCGTCACGCTTTTGGCTAGTTCCCGTCCCTTGCGACGCTTCGAGTTTGAAGCGGACAGCACAGGAACCCATGTTGGGACGCCTGGGCGGATTCTGTTTCGAGGCGGCCCTCCCTCCTCGCTCTGCTTCTCTCCTCCTTCCCCCTTTCCTCTCCGTGTCGGCTTGCCCTCTTCAGGGACCTCCGTCACAGAGCTCCATGCAGTGGAGACCCATGCCAAGAAACACCCTGCTTGCCTCCAGGGTGCCCAGGGTTTCTTGGGTTTCGGTGGTCTGGGAAGCGTGACGTTCCCACGCCAAAAGTCAATGGACGTCCTGGGGTCTCAGGGTTGGGTTTCCTGTGGAAGGTTTCCTGTGGTCGGGCCCCCACTGTGTCTCCAGCTCTGTCCTCGCAGCTCTCTGCCTGGCGAGTCGCGCGCACCGCACCGGGGCCCCGAGGGGCCCCGCAGGACTCTCGAGCACCTCCCCGCGACTCGTCCGAAACGGTCCACGGGCTCCCCCTGCGCCCTGCCCTGCCCTCCCCCCGCGCACATGTGTCCCTCTGCTGTCTCCCTTCCCCTCTTCCCCTCCATCACCTCCTTCACCACATCCTCCTCCTCCTCCTCCTCATCCTCCTCCTCCTCCTCCTCCTTCCCCATCGAGCACCTTGAAAACCTCATCCTCGTCGTCGTCGTCGTCGTTGCCTCATCTTCCTGCTCTTCCTCCTCCTCCTCTTCCTCCTCCCCCTCTCCCCCCTCCCCCCCAGCAAGTGAGAAATTTCTCTTTTGCCAAATACACTTGTCCGCGTCGCTCTTAATATGTTCAATCACTAGCCCAGCTGTTCCAAGCAGCGTCGCTTTACATTTTCCCTCGTTCACGTTAGGGATGCGTCTCTGGATGACACCTCCCGCTCCTCGAACGGCCAAAGATGTCCACGAAGAGCTTCCAGAACCTTCCAAAAAGGCCACCACGAGGCTCTCAGGGAGTGCCCAAGGCGCCCAACAATAGACTCCCAAGAGGTCATCCAAAGCTCCAGGGCGCACCCCTCGCTGAGAGGAAAACACGCAACGTGGGAACTAACACGACACGTGCCTCTTCTCTAGTCCCGTGTTCTTCCTTTCTCTTCATTGCTGCCGCCTGCAAGAGGAACTCCGTGACAGATCAGGCATTTGGGTACAGACCCGAGGATTTGCGAACTCTGCTCGCGTGGCTTCATTGCGATCAGGGCAAAGGCCACCCGAGGCGTTAGGAACCAAGCATGGCGCCGCGAGGATTGCTTGAGTGGAGAAAAAGCATCCCTGCTGCCGCCTCGCTCTTCCCAGACCCCGAAGTCGACCCCCAGAGGTCTTTGACCCATTCCCCGGGGACCTGTTTCCCATCCCGAGAGTCGTTGTTTGACGGTACCGAGGCCCGACGAGGGCCCCCTGATGCCGAAAATGGTAAATTATTCACGGCGTGGAGCTCCCCATATGTGCATCTATTCGCATGGACCTGTCCGCCGTGAGTGTCTAGGCGCAAGAGTTTTCGAATATAAGCGGGCTTGAGTTGTGACGGTCTGGTCATGAATCTAATTGCGAATGAATTGGAGTGTGAATGAGTCTCAGTAGTACAAGCGCGTCACTGCGCATGAGCCTGGGGCCTCCTGGGGCCTCCTGAAACCTCCTCGGGCTTCCTGGGGCCTCCAGGAGCCTCTTGGGGCCTCCTAGGGCCTCTTGGGGCTTCGAGTGGCCTCCTGATACGTCCTGGAGCCTCGCGTGGCTTCCTGGGGCCTCCTGGAGCCTCCTGGGACCTCCTAGGGCGGATTCGTGCCCCAGGAGAGGCCCGATATATAGGAACAGACGTACAGAAAACATTGCGGATTGGAGCCAGGCGAAAGGCAGTCTATAGGAAAACACGTAAACCACCAAGGACTCGTGCCCCAGGGGAGGCACAATGTATAGTAACAGACGTTAAACATTCAGGAGTGTATACACAGGAGAAAGACAATCTATATAAACATACGTATAATATCAAGGACTCGTGTTCCAGTTGAGGCCCAAAAATATAGGAGCATCTGGAAAACACATGGAATTGGAGCCACTCTTGTTGCCTTCTGCGGCCTCCTGCTCCTGGGGCCTCTCGGGGCCTTCTGTTGCCTTCTGGGGCCTCCTGGCGCTTCCTGTGGCCTCCTGGGGCTTCCTGTAGCTTCCTGAGGCCTCCTGGAGTTTCCTGGGGCCTCCTGGAGCCTCTTGGGACATCCTGTGGCCTCGTGAGTCTTCCTGTTGCCTCCTGATGCCTCCTGGGTTCTCCTGTGGCCTCCTGGGGCCTCCTGGAGCCTGTTGGAGCCTCCTGTGACAGCCTGGGGGGAATCTGTGACCACGAGTCTGGCCACCAAAACAAACCGATCGAGACATCTTCAACATCTGGGCCCCCTTGGGGTGCGATAGCCAGCGCCTCGCACGAGACATCCTCAGAATCTGCTCCGAAAACGAAAGACCTGGGACCTCCTAGGGCGGATTCGTGCCCCAGGAGAGGCCGGATATATGAGGAAAAAAAGGATTCGTGCTCCAGGTATACGAGGATACGTAAAACACATGGGATTGGAGCCACTCCTGTTGCCTTCTGAGGCCTCCTGCTCCTGGGGCCTCTCGGGGCATCCTGTTGCCTGGGCCTCCTGGCGCTTCCTGTGGCCTCCTGGGGCTTCCTGTAGCTTCCTGAGGCCTCCTGGAGTTTCCTGGGGCCTCCTGGAGCCTCTTGGGACATCCTGTGGCCTGTTGAATCTTCCTTTCCTGTGGCCTCCGGATGCCTCCTGGGACCTCATGTGGCCTCCTGGGGCCTCCTGGAGCCTGTTGGAGCCTGTTCTGGCATCCTGAGGAGAATATGTGCCCGCGAGTCTGGCCACCAAAACAGGCAAACCGATCGAGACATCCTCAAAATCTGGCCCCCCTGGGGGGCGAAAGTGAGCGCCTCGCTCGAGACGTCCTCCACATCTGCTTTGACAGCGGACGATATTGGGGACCAACACAAGCAAGGCCGTGAGATACCCCTGGCGGTCCCCCCTTAGGAGGCGCCTCGCACGAGACATCCTCAAAATCTGCTCCGAAAACGGAGGATGTTGGGGACCAAAACAGGCAAACCGCCTGAGACATCCCCGCCATTTGGGCGCGAACGGAGGCCGTGAGATACCCCTGGCGGCCCCCCCTTAGGAGTGCTAAAACCAGCAAGCCGCTCGAGACATCCTCCTCATCTGCTCATCGTCATCATCATCATCATCATCATCATCATCATCATCATCATCATCATCATCATCATCATCATCATCATCATCATCATCATCATCACCATCGTCAGCATCATCATCATCATCATCAGCATCATTATCATCAACATCATCATCAGCATCATCATCATTATCATTATCAGTTTCATCAGCAGCATCACCGTCATACTCATCCATCATTCACCATCACCATCATACCCACATCATACTCTCACCATACCATGGTCATCATCGTGGTATGGGTGGTCCGGCGCGGTCGGAGAGTAACAAGAACCCCATCCTTTGGATATGGGGAAAAACCTCCCGTCAGGACTTTTTGATTATTCGAGGGGGTCTGGCTTCACAGCTCTTCCCACCTCCATCTTCCTTCCCCGTTGCATGCATGCCCGCGTGTGCTCCGAGGTCAGGGCTCCGTGGCTCTGGTCAGGCGCTGGGGGCCTCCCGCGGCCTCTGGAGAGCCAGGGAGGGCCAGGGGTGCTCCAGAACCCTCCCCCCGAGTCAGCTGAAGTTTGTCCAACTCAAAAGGAAGGAGGAGGATGATGATGAGGAGGAGGAGGAGGAGAAGGAGTAGGAGGAGGAGATGCGCATGTGCGAGGCATCGCCGCTCCGCCCGAAGGTGCGTGCCCTGCCCCACACCACGTCCGCAACGGTTCTCGGCGACGTCACCAACACCTCAGGCGGGACCGCCCCCTCTGTAGGCCCCGCCAGGCAGTTCTGGGGGAGGGCGAGGAGGAGGAGGAGGAGGAGGAGATGGAGGAGATGGAGGAGTAGTAGTAGTAGTAGTAGTAGGAGGAGGAGGAGGAGGAGGAGGAGGAGGAGGAGAAAGGGAGAGGAGGAGGAGGTTGGGGAGGGAGGAGAAGGAGGAGAGAGGAGGAGGAGGAGGAGGAGGAGGTGTTGAGGAGGAGGAGGAGGAGAAGGAGGAGGAGGAGGAGGGGAGGAGGGAGGAGGAGGAGGGGCGAGGAAGGAGGAGGAGGAGGAGGAGGAGGAGGAGGAGGAGGAGGGCGACGAGGTGGAGGAGGAGTAGCAGCAGGGGGAGGAGGAGGATGAGGAGGAGGAGGAGGAGGAGGAGGAGGAGGAGGAGGAGGGCGAGGAGGAGGAGGAAGAGGAGGAGGAGGAGGGGGAGGAGCTGGGGGAGGAGTACCAGACTCAAGTCCCCCCTGTCATAAGTCCCTGCAGCAGTTAATTCCCCATCCACTGCGGGAGGAGCCCCCCCCCCTGAAATGACGAGCGCTGGGTGAGCTTGCCACTCAGGCGACACGCGGTCCCATACTGGACCCCCCCTTTTTTTTGTTAAAAAAAAACAACAGGCGCAGGCGCACATTAGAAGGAAGTGCTCAGCGATAGCCATATGAGCGATATTAGAGGGATTTGGCAGTTAGGATGCCATAGTAGAAGGATTCAGGATTTAGCCATTAAGGAGGAGGGCTTAGGATTTGGGATATTAGCCAATCGGATTAGGATCAGGATTATGAGGATTTAGGAACTAGGAGATTAGCCTTAAGCGTTCAGGATTCAAGATGTCATATTAGAAGGAAGTGCTCAGCGATAGCCCCGGTTTGATCAGGAATTGCCCGTCATCCACGGGTTGCGCAGCCTCGAGCCCTGGCCATGCACCTCGCACCTCCGGAAGCCGCATGCGAGAGTTTCATTTTAAGCAAAGGAGTTGGCTTGCATCCGTGTAACTGTTGTGCACTTGGAATGTCGGGTCATAGAAATCGAGGGCGGACTGGCATGATCGAATGGACTGGCTTCCTTTAGGTACTTAGGTATTGCGAGCTTTAGAGGCGGATGTGCGCGTCGCTCCGGCGAGAGCACGAGTCTAAATGCCACTAACCATCCATCCTGGTAGTTGGTGCGAATTTAGAACGGGCGTGTGCGAGGCGAGAGCTCCATCTTGAAAACCAGCGGACCCCCCATCCTTGTACTGGCTGCAATCTGTTCAGACGAATATGCACAGCGCCAAGGCAAGAGCTCCTTTCTGAAAACCTCTGGACCTCCATCTTTGCACCTGCTGCACATTTTCAAGACTGGTGTGCGCGGCGCACAGGCGAGAGCCACAGCAGCGGCGCTCGAGCGATAGTCCCATTTGAAATCCATCGGCTAAGTTTTGTTCACCATGTTTGAGGGGATTGGCCATGCTGGCCAGGCTGACGTTTTATTACGGTGGGGGCGTTGGTTCAGGAATGTGCCCAGGAGGCTTCAGACCCCAGAGGATTCCTTAACAAATGAGGGTGGCAGTGATATCCATGGCCAAGCCTCAAGAGGTGTTCGCTAGCTTACAGACCCTGGATTCCTTATCTACGGGTTCGTTATCCAATGCCCTCGCTGTAGGTGCTGGCTGGGTTTTGTCTTGGTGGAAGTCCGAATGATCCGCAGCAGCTTCGAATGAGGCGGGCGGCGTCTTGTACCGCTGTTGCATCCGCGCCCCTGTACTTGTGGGCGTTGTCGAGATCGTCCTCCATGTCATGATGGTTCTGGTCGGGGTCGTGGAAGTGGTGTTGCATCGTGTCGTCGTGTTCGTGGCAGTGGCCGTTGTCTTTGGTACTGCCCGTCGTCGTCGTCGTCGTCGTCGTCGTCGTCGTCGTCGTCGTCGTCGTCGTCGTCGTCTCCCTCCCCCTCCTCAGCCTCTGCGCGCAGTGCCTGCTACATCCCCTGCGCCCGCTCTGCTTGGATCGCCGCGGTGGTTGCTAAGGGGACGCGGGGGTTAGAAGAGGATGCGGCAGTGGGCTTTATTCAGCCTGACCCAGCTTAGAAGTGGATTGCAGGGCGTAGTCCACTTAGCGGATTTGCCTCATCATACTATGTTACACAGGGCCCTTGTAGCCCACTTGCAAGATGGGTTGGACCAGGTCAAGCCTCTCTTAACATCCACTTCAAGCCCCCCCCTTATCCCCGTGGCCCCCCCGCGGTGATCCAAGTGGGCACGCACCCTGCCATCGCGCAGGCCTCCCCAGTGGCCGCGCTGCAGGCCTTCCACAGCCACTTTGTGGCGCAAGGCTGCGCGGGCCGGCGCTGGGCCGGCGCGGGGCGCGGCCCGCCGCGATGGCCCGACGCGCGGCAGCAGGCGCTCCGGCCGATGACGGAGCCGAGCGGCGCCTCCCACGCAGCCGCCGGGGCTCCGGGCCCCAGCCGCGAGGCGGCCGCCGCGTCGACGATCCAGAGGAACTTCCGCGCGGCCGCAGGAAGGCAGGAGGCGGCCGAGGCGGCGCGGGCGGCTCTGGCGCTGGTGGCAGCTCCGGCGCCGCGGGCGGCCAGCGGTGCGGCGGAGACGGCTGGCGAGGCCGTGGCCAGGCTGAGGAGGGAGCTGGGCGAGCCACGGCACATCGTGTGCGTCCTGGGGGGCACCGCGTTCCAAGACAGCGCCTCCGAGGCCCTGGTGCAGGCCCTGGCGCGCGACCTGGCCGCGGACCTTGGCCCCGAGGTGGCTTTTGTGACTGGCGGGATGCCTGGCGTGCAGCGCGCCTTCGCGGGCCAGTGCGGCGACGGCTCGCGTCTTTGGAACCTGGTGCCGCGCGCAGAGTCCAGCGACTACGGCGTCGGCCGAGACGTGCACGCGGGCGCAGACCTCGCTGAGCGGAAGGAGGTGTTCGGCCAGCTGGGGGATGTCTACGTCACCGTGGAGGGCGGGCCTGGAGTGGCGCAGGAGTCCCGGGCTGCCGCTGCGCGAGGCGCAGCGATCGTCCCGCTGATCCGCACTGGCGGCGCGAGCGCCGGGATGTTCGACTTCCCCCCAGAGGCGCTGCAGAGGCCTGCGTTCGCAACCCAGGAGCAGTGGGAGCTCCTGTCTTCTCCAGACGCGACCGTCGCGATGTCCGCGGCAGCCGCGGCGCACATGGTCACGGGGATCATCTCCGAAAGGGAGTCCCGACAGCGACGCGAGCCTGCTCGGTCGCCTGCCCGCTCGCCGCCCGCATCGCCCAGCAGGGCGCCAAGTCCGCCGCGCGCCCTACAGCGGCGCGAGCCTCCTCGGTCGCCTGCGCGCCCGGCCGCTTCGCCCGCATCGCCCAGCAGGGCGCCAAGTCCGCCGCGCGCGCGCGAGCCTGTTCGGTCGCCTGCGCGCTCGGCCGCGTCGCCAGGCAGAGCTGCGAGTCCGCCACGCGCGGCGAGGCCCATACGGGCTGAGGCGCCGGCGAGCCCGCCGCTGGGCGCGGCACCTGCGCCGCGTGCCCCGCGGGCACGGAGCCAGCCGCAGCCAGACCGCCGCCAGGCGGGCGCTGGCGCGTCCGCGCACGAGCGCGGCGGCTCTGCCGGAGCTGCGGGCATCGGGCCGCGCGGCGTCGCGAGAGGCACGCGCAGTGGGCCCAGCAGCCCTCGCGCTGGGGCGCGGAGAGCGGCAAGCCCGGGCAGGCTGCCGGCGAGCCTGAGCCCGCTGCCGCGCGAGCCCCCGCGCAGTGCGCAGGGCGCCAGGAGCCCCCCAGGCAGCCCGCTCTCCAGCCCGCGGCGCTGGCCAGGCAGTGCTCTCGCCAGCCCGCGCGACCAGGCGCAGGGTGCGCCCAGTAGGCTTGCCGCGAGGCCGAGCTGGAGGCCTGCGGGCGATGGCGGCCTGTCGCCAGCTGCCGCGCAGGACGGCGGCGCCGCGGAGGAGCAGAAGGAGCTGCACCGAGAGGCTCGCCGGAGGATGAAGAAGAGTCCCGACTTCGCCGCGAACGTCTGGGCGGAGCTGCACGCCATGCACGGGCACCGGCTGGAGGTGCTGGAGGAGGTGCGCCAGCGGGCCTTCGAGATGGACCACCCCGTCTCTTTCGGCACGGAGGAGGAGCTGGCGGCTGCCTGCATGAGGCTCCACTCCAATGCCGCCCCCGCGGGCGCTCGTACGGAGGCCAGCGCAAAGGAAGGCAGGCGGCGTGAGGTAAACGCAGACGCCGGCGCTTGTACAGAGGCCAGCGCAAAGGAAGGCAAGCGCCGCGAGGTAAACGTAGACGCGCTGCTGCGGCGGCTCCACGACAATGAGGAGTTAAAGGAGCGGCGGAGGGAGACCGAGGAGAAGGTGATAAATGAGGTGATGAAGGAATGCACATTCAGACCCCAAATCATCCGCAAGGTGGAACCTGGTGCCGCAACCTTCCATGGGAGCCATGCAATCGCGTCAGAGCGGCTCTACTTGCAAGGCAAGGAGCGCGACCAGGCGTTGAGCGAGAAGCGCGAGCGGCAGCTCGAGAAAGAGGCGCGCCAGCTGCAGGAGAGCAGCGTCCACAACCTGGCGGGCAAGAAGAAAGCGAAAGCGCGCACAGGGAACGGCAACCTTGTGCAGAAGGGCAACGTCTACGAGCGGAGCCTCACGTGGAAGAAGGGGCTGGACAGGAGGATCGCCGAGACGCGGGACCGCGAGGGGGCAGAGCTGGCGCGGGAGATGAAGCTGCAGGAGTCCGCGGTCCAGCGCCGGCTGAGGCTCAGCGGGTCGACGGCGGCGACCGCGCAGGAGAAGGCCGTAGACAGGCTCTACAGGGTGGACCTGACGAGGCGGAAGGCGCGCGCCAACGAGAGGATGCAGGACCGCCAGAGGGACATCGAGAGGGAGCTGCAGGAGCAGGAGCTGAAGTCCGTCCACGCCAAGGCCGCCGCCAGGCAGTGGGCGCCCGGCGAGCTGCGGGAGATCCGCCAGCGCCTCGCCGCCAGCCCGCGCCGCGCGGCCGCGGCCGCCACGCCACTCCCCCGGAGCCCAGAGGCCGAGAAGGAGGACGAGGCTCAGCTGCACGTTCAAGTCGGGTACGTCCCTGTACAGGAGGAACAAATCAAGAACAGTGAACAAAAATAGTCTGGGGTCGGTTGTTTGCGTTTTTTTGGTGACCATTTTGGAGTTGTTGTGGGATATGTTTCCACAAGCAATGCTTGCTTGCACTGAAGGGGTCCTGGCGGACGTTCCCCAATCAGTACTTTCACCGAAGGGGTCCTAGCGGCGGAAATTGAAAGATTTGGCGGAAGTTGCCCGCCGATTTTGGTAGCCGGCTGGGTTCCCGGGCCCCCGGTTCTGGGTTCCCGAGTTCCTGCAGGTTATTGGTTCCGGGCCGATCTCGGTGGGTTCTGCAGGTTCCTGGGTTCCGGTCGATCTCCTTATCGATCCGACCATCCATTGAGTGGGGCTTTCCCCTGGTGGCATTACTTGTTCATCCAAAAATCCCCCTGTAGGAGGACGTGCCCCACCTACCTGCACGCGAGAGAGCGGCCCCCCTTTGCCGGAGGGGCCTCCGGCGCCGGCCCACGGTGGCCCCCTTGACCGCCGGGTGCAGTGCGACGGCTCGGAGGAGGAGGAGGTAGACCCAACTCCCTTATTATTAATCGCCCCCCCCTAAAAATCCGGACCCCCCTCCAAATGCGACCTAGTATTCCGGACCCCCTCTTCGACAGGGCGCCTTAATAAAATGGACCTCCTGAGCTCCAATCCACAGAAAGCGCCCTAATGAACCGGACCCCCCCCCCAATTACAGAAAGGGCGCCTTAAAAAACGGGACCCGGGGGACGATTAATGAGGGATTTTGAGTACCCCAGACTAATGTTGCTCCCATCGTACTTCAGGACCATATCCAAATAATAATTTCGAGCACTCAGATGAGGATCGAAACAGTGTCAAAGGAGTATCGCCTCCCGGGGCCCGACACGCAAAAGCCCGCAAGTTTCGGTATTTTCTTGGTGCTCGAAATTCTTTCTGGTGGTCAAGGCTCAAGTAGGTTGGAACATTTTAATCCCAGAAATGATCGCGTCGTGAAACATCAGGGCGGGAGGTTTTTGCTAGTTTTCGGCCTCGGGGGGCCCTCGCCGGCCCTCAGGAGCGTCACAAAACGACTCGGAATTGAAAGCCGGTCCTGGGGAAAGGGTCGGGACTTCGGGGACGCCGTCCAGAAAAAAATCAGGACGTCGCACTTCTGGTGCCGATACCGCTGCTCGTTCTGGAGAGCCCTCGTCGCCACGGCTGGATTCGCCTCGAACTCCTAGTCAGAGCGTGCCCCGGGCGAGGTCTGGAGGGTAGGGTATCGGGCATCGGTGTTCTGTTGATCCCCGAACAGCCCACGAGACCCGACGTTGCAGCGAAAAGCCAACATGGCGGAGAATCACGGCTGGAACCCCGGACCCCATCTGCCTGCCCCGTGCTCCCAGCTTGATCGATCTGTGAGGGTCCCAGGCTCCAGAACTCTGCGCAGGCGCCCAGCTCGGAGCACTTGCGGCACCGGGGCCCCTGAGCCCCACGGGCAACATCTGATCAGGCCTCGCTTTCGGACGCCCCGGCGCTCCGGCGCCGCTCCCGCAGCACCCTAGACGGTGCCCCTGTGCGGGCGTGCTTCGTGCTTCGCGCTGCGGACCCCTGAGCCCTGGCACCATCCAGACATGCCGAGACGACGTGTGCGTCGGTGATCACCACCCACCAAACCACCCCAACCCAACCCGAAGGGTCAGATTTACCCTCGATTTCTAGTGGGGGGGGTCCAGGAACATCGAAAAACACCTATGGAGCCCATACCCCCCCCAACCCGAAATTCGGGTCTTCGGGTTGGGTTGGGGTGGTCTGGTAAGTAGTCAGGTTAACGCAAGGGCGACGCGCACGCTCGGAAGCAACGTAGGATGAGCCCCTGGCGGGCGCTTTCTGACCAGACCGCTCGGGAACGATACAGTAGGCACCCATGTCAAGAAACACCCTGTTTGCCTCCAGGGTGCCCTGGATTTCTTGGGTTTCGATGGCTTTGCGATGGAAAGCGTGACGCTCCCACATCGAAACTTGATGGACGTTCTGGGGTCTCAAGGTTGGGTATTCTTGTGGAAGGTTTCTTGTGGTCGGTTGTCTACTGTACGCCATTCCATGTGCCCCTGAAATGTGTTTGATTTTGGGCGATTTCAGTTCTTTCGTAAGGAACCAGTCCTGCGCCGCGGTCTGACCGCTATGTGGTCGCCGTCGCCGCCCCGTTGCCGTTTCGTCGCCGCTCGTCGTCTGGTCCAGTTTGTCGGTCTGGTGGCTATGTCGTCGCCGTCGCCGCCCCGTTGCCGTCTCGTGGCCGCCCGTCGTCTGGGTCTGCGTGTCGGTCTGGCGGATATGTCGTCGCAGTCGCCACCTCGTCGCCACAACAAAGACTGCACGACATCGATTCCCCTCCTGCAAAATTTGGGATATCTCCCCCTTCTCCAGGACTATCGCGACCCCCTTGAATAGTACAATTTGCACATGGATCGGCCCCGACGTTCGTTTTTTTAGATACGGGATTGTACAGGTCATATAGGAGAACACAATGTATATACGATCGTGCCCCATCGTTTCGTCTAAAGTTGAACGCGTGCCATCCCAGCGAAAACCCCCTTTTTTATCGCCCCTTCCTCAGGTATGTCAAATAATTACATGCGCGCGAATTCGTTTAATTACCACGAATCGTAATATTCAAACAACCGATGCAACAAATGGGGCGCACTCCACCGACGCACGCGGCGTCGCGCGCGCAAGCTGGAATCTTTCAAACACTGGAGGTGTCGTACAGTATTTTCACTGCATTCGACCAAGCGGGCCGCTCGCCCGCGCATGTCGAAATCATTCGAACGCCCTCGCGCGCCTGCTTGCATGGGAGCACGACCCTTCTCAAACAATACCACGCGGGCCATTCGCGCACGCCGGCCGCGCGCGCATGCCGATCTTTTTCTTCAAAACCGTCATCACCGACACGTCACCGACACGTGGACACCATCAGCGTCATGGGCGTGATCAGCATCGGCGCCGTCATTGGCCACACCGTCGCCATCGCTTCCATCGTCACCACCATCGTGTCTGCCGTTGTCGACGTCGCCATGACACCGCGCCCGCCCGAGTCACCGACTCGCGCTGTAGCACCCGCGCGTCAGCGCGGCCTGCGAAACGTGCTCGGAAATCCCCCGCGGTCAGCGCCACCGCGGCCGCGTCGGTCGCGCCAGAGTTGTTGGTCGCTCTGCGCGCGAGCTTGCGCTCGTTAGTGTGGCTTCGGCAAGCGCCAGCCAGCACCGAACAGTCATCGCAATCGCCGCCGCATGGGCTTTGCGAGCCAAATTGCGGGTGGGTGGGTGGGATGCTTGCGCGATCACTGGGGCTGACAATTCACCAAGGCAAGTTTATTGTCAGCACCACGTATGTTCTCCTTTCTACCGCTAATCTTGGATATCCCCCCCGAATTACGGACATCCTCGGGATCACGCAACGTACGAAGTATGAACTCACCGAGTCCCACGTGGACTCGGCATCGCCACCCCTCATCCCCGCCCAACAAAGCGATGGGCGCGCACCCATTGCTATCACGAATCGCCACACGGCAAGAATACATGGCAACAAATTATGTCAAAGTCGACTCGCGAGCGTCGCCCCGTACACATGCCGGAATCCTTCCGCAACGACGAACGACCCTGTCAGGACGTCAAGATTGAGTTCCCCTCCCCGACCACATGCTCAACACAGCTGACCTGGCAACACCGCTTTTAAAAAACAAGTATGAGCCTGCGTTTTTGCGAATTTTCATCAAATGCAACCAAGCGGGGCGCTCGCGCGCGCATGTTGGAATCATTCGAACGCCTTTGCGCGTTTGTTTGGGGTGGCGACTTCTGTCTCAGAATAAGATGTGGGCCATTTGCGTCCGTCGGCCGCGCGCGCATGTAGAAAAACCGTCTCAAAACATTAATTGACGACGCGTGGACACCATCATCATCGGCGTGATCAGCATCGGCACCGTCATTGGCCTCGCCGTCGTCATCGACACCATCGCCACCAGCATCGCTACTAACATCGTCGTGTCCGCAGCTGTCGGCGTCGCAATGATACCGCGCCCGCCCGAAACACGGACTCGCACTGAAGCGCCTTCGCGCCATCGCGGCATGCAATACGCGAAGGGAAGCCCCTGGCGGTCGGCCCCACCGTGTGTATGGAACCCGTGTAATACCCTCATATATACTCCTTATCCTTACCTCTCCCGCACCTGGCCGTTTGGGCTCAGGTACTGAGTTGGAGCGATCGTACCTTGATCGCTTGGGAGGGAAAGATATCCATCTATCCCTCCATCTCTCTACCAACGGATCAGGGGTTCTGTACTCTTGTACTTCAACCCCATACACAGGTTATCAGCCCTTTAACGCTCACCTTCACCGACTCGCCCGCGGTGACCTTGCATGCGAGCCCAATGGAGCCGCTTCGGCGCATGCGCCGTAAGGGTTCCATTGGGGCTTCGCGTCCAAGCTCTCCCACGGTGCGACGGCTCGGTGACGAGTTGGAGAGCATTAGTGCGGACTGTGTTGGTGTCCCCGATACCCCCCCCAGCTCCCGAGGACCCGAGGCGCGTCTAGCTGCTGAACTTCGCCGCAGCGCCGCCCGCGGGGGGACAGGAGAAGGAGTAGGAACAGGAAGGAAGGAGTTTCACACGCCGACCTTTGATCCTCCCTCCCCTTCCCCGTCGGGAGCAATCCCAACCGCGTCAGGCGAAAGCCTTACCGGTCTCGATACTCCAGGGCGCTTCCGCGCTAACCGCCGATGGACCTCAGGTGCTGGAACCCCCAGCCCTGCGACCGTCCCTGTGGCGGAGCACGTAGCTACCTTCGAGGAACTCAGTAGACCAGTGTCGGCACAGCCACAGACGCGGTACCCCAAGGTATCATCGGATGAGACATCACACACACATGGTCCGAGTCGCAGCTCGTCCGCGCGCAACCGCCGTGGAGCCCCGGGCCCATGCGGCGAGCGCAGGTCGAGCCCGC